CCCCATACCAGTTTCTCTCCTCTACAATGCCTGAGTACCATGAGGGGGAGCACTGAGAGCACAGGAGAGATAGTATCCCTGTTTTCAGTTCCAGTGCCCAGACCTGGACCTGTCCTAGCCCGCAGGAGCACAGCACTGCAATTGCTACTCCTGGGGGAATTCTGAGCCACTGTGCACGTGCATAATTAATGAGCTGTGCATATTTTTAATTTTTTGCACAGAAAAAAGCTTCTGCTGGAACGTTGTTGAAGTTCTGTCTTTTGCCCACCAGAGGGTGATATGGCAATAGAACAGAGCAACAGCTCCCAGCCAGCTAGGGAAAAGAAAGAGCCTGCTTTCTTCACAGTGCCTGTTTTGGTCAGGTCAGGAGACAGGGGCTATGGGAAGACAGACAGCGTGGGGCTGCTGGGGGGTCAGACAGGGGCTCATAAGGGCTAGTGAGGGAGGATAGACTGGGACAGGGGCTGAATGGGAGTGGAGCTGCAGGGCCACAGAGGAGAGGGAGGTGCAGGGCCACATTGGGACGGGGGATGACTGAGTGGGGGCACAGAGACACATGGAAACGGGGAGGGGGTGCAAGGACACATGGGGATGGTGGGAGTGCATTTCTGAGTGGAGGTGGAGGGACACCTGTGGACAGGGAGTGCAGGGACACATAGGGAAAGGGAAGATGTGCCTGACTGAATGGGAGATGCTAGGGGCCAGCCAGGGTCTGCAAGTGGGAAGCTTCCTAACAATCCCTTCCCAACACCCCCCACCGCCCACCAAAAAAACCCTGTTCCATAACTTTCCCAACCATATCTAATAACCCACCAAGTTCACATCAAGGCTCCTTCCCAGCAATTACTTCCCCCTCCCTCAGCTCCTTCATTACCCCTAACTCCCCCAAGCCTTTGCACGGCTTCTGAGGCATGTGGGAAATATGATTCTGTGTTGTAATTTAAAGGAATTATTACTCAGATTTCTGTATTAATATGCCTAGGTAAGGAATCTATTTGTCAAAAAACATTTCCTGAATCTTTTTTGTTATCTGTATTGTTACAGACATACTTGCTGACAGGTATTTTGAAATAAGCGACCAAAAATAATTGAAACTGCTGTGATTATATTGTGTTATTTTGACAAATAAAATATGCAGAATTTTGCAGAATTTGAAAATACTGTGCTCAGAATTTTTAATTTTTTGTTGCAGAATTTTTAACTTTTTGGCACAGAATTCCCTCAGGAGTAAATTGCATTGAAAATCCTGCTCAGCCCCAGGCTCCAGCATGCTCAGTTTGGAGGGAATCTTCAGAAAATTTAGCTGCAAAGCCCTAGCTAGTCTCTACTGAGTATGTGTGAATTGCGATTTTTCAAAGGCTTATCATTTGGCCTAATTTGAGACGGATTTTCATGGAGACCACAAAAGTCACATCTCTGATAATGTAAGCCGCCTACTTGCCAAATTTCATGTCCCTAGTTTGTTTGTTTTTTTAACAGGGACAAAACAATGTATTTTTCTCTAAACTTGTTCTTGGAAACAGCCAAACCATTTTGGCTGAAATCAGTCTCCCCTCCCACTTTGCCCCTCCCCTCCCCCAATAAACCTGACGTAGACAACTGTCATGCAAAATTTCAGCCCAAATGGTTAATGTTTTGACAAAATTATAAGCAATTGAAAACAGGGTCTTATAATGAGAAGTGTTCGGCAACAGCATTGCATTTGACTAAAGTCCTCTTTGCTAAATTTTCATTCCAAAGCTGTTTCCTTTTTCTTTTAGTTTTTTCAGTCTATTTATCCTATGGCTGTTATCTCTGGATATCCTATAATCCATCTAGATATTGAATAAATCACTGGAAGTGTAATGCTCCTCACATTTGGTTAATAATTATTCTGATTTACCCTAAGTCTGTAATAATTTTGATATTATTTCGATATGTGTGTGTGTTCATCAGGTATTTCAAGTGGCTAATAACCTTTGTAGCCCATCCTAAAGGGAGGGGAGGGATAGCTCAGTGGTTTGAGCATTGGCCTGCTAAACCCAGAGTTGTGAGGTCAATCCTTGAGGGGGCCATTTAGGGATCTGGGGAAAAACTGGGGATTGGTCCTGCTTTGAGCAGGGGGATTTCAACCCTAATATTCTATGATTCTAAACAAGCATACACACATCACATAGTTATTCAAAGCTTATTTGCAATAGTGAACATGTAACAGTTTTTCTTTATCACACTGTTCCAATTTTTTATATAAAAATACTGGACTTTTTAAAAAAATTTTTTTAATCCAGGAACGTCTTCTACTTTCTTTACTGCCTGCTCACATTGCCATGGAAATGAAAGCTGAGATTATTCAGAGGTTACAAGGCCCCAAAGCAGGCCAGCTGGAAAATACGAACAACTTTCACAATTTATATGTCAAGAGGCACACCAATGTGAGGTATTGTACTTTACTACTACCATCTATCAACTAGGTCAGCAAAGCATTTTCAGGGGGGTGGGGTAAAGTGTGGAGGGAAGGTTGTTTTACCATGCTTTTTAACCACTTTAAGTTCTGGTACAAAAATATTGTATATTAATTTGACCAAACTCTTAACAACAGATTCCTTGTTTCAGTCAGGCATAGCTATTTTTGGAGTCAACTCAGAGAACTTCATAGAAGTCATCCTCTGATTTATATTAGAATGGGCTTTCCTCATTGATCCTGATGTCTTTGTAAAGTTTCCTATTCTGTAGTCTTTCAAGTTGAAGGGCCAAATTCTGTGTGAAGTTACTCTGAATTTCCAGTTATGTCAGTTAGAACAGAATTCAATTAAGGCTTTTAGCTGAGTAGAAATAGAAATGGCTTTAACATAGACTGAATGCTTGAGGACATATTTGCAGATTCTGCTGCAAAATCTGATGATTTATCAAACTCGGCATTTTTAGAATTTAGAAGAAAAAAGTTGTCTCATAAACCTTGTGTCAAATTAAAGGGACTGTACTATGGTCCCCATTTCTGGAGATAGAAAACAATAGCGCGAATAATTGGGTGAATAAAAGAAATCAGGTCACTTATTTAGGTACCTGAACGTGAATTTTGGAGCCAGACTCTGGGCTTCTATTTGTGAAAATTTTAATTTATATGACATTTTCGTCCTCTTAGCAATTTGCTGAAGGGGTTAGATAAGATTAATGTCTGTTTATTTAATCCTTGATTGCTTATAAGAAATAGGTCATAAACACTTGATACATATCTAAAACGTATGCATTCAATAAGCATGAAATCAATTGGACTTATAGAGTAATTGGTTTCTATCAAAATTACTCTAAAATATCATTTCTCTTTAACCATCCTGTAGGTCCTCAGTTTTTAAGAGCTAATACAAAAGTCATAACTCAAAAGGAGGAAGGGCTGAGTTAACCGTGTCAAAATTCAAATCTCTGAGTTAACATAAACCTACCCAGCTAACTTCAGTGAAAATGACCCTTTTTGTTCATTATAATAGTTTTACAGATTATATAATGAGAAACCTGAAATATATTTGAAATTAAAGTTTTAATAACAGTTATTTCCAAACCTGCTGCTGGAAAGATCTGGATCCTCTAATTAGACACAACAAAGTGTGCCCATGAAAGGAGCATAGTATGAGCTAAGGAATAATTCTGTGAAGAATGTGTGATTATGTCTCAGTGCAATGGCATGTCATTACCTTATCACACAAAGTTGAAAAAAGATTTTTAAGGAGCTGTGAATATATGGCTGTGAGCAGCACCTTGATTCATGCATATGGGCCTGATTCTGCAATGTCCTGAGCACTTATTTTTGGATTTTGCTTAGGGGTAAATACTTCTTTATTCTAAAGCTAGGGAAACTGATAATCAAGTGTGTTTTCCTTTCCTTTGTAGTATTCTGTATGCTGATATTGTAGGATTCACTCGGCTGGCTAGTGACTGTTCACCTGGAGAACTGGTACACATGCTTAACGAGCTCTTTGGCAAGTTTGATCAAATTGCAAAGGTAATTATCTGCTACGGCTTTTCTCATTTCTGCTACAGCTGTTTATTATTACTGTGCAATGCTGTCCTCATGGGAACTCTACACTCTTTCCTCTTGGCAAGGGCACAGTCTTCTGGGCAGCAATCCTCAGGCTTTAAGCAGGAGAGTGTACTGAAACCAGGTGGAGATTCTCCAGGAGGCTAAACCTGGTTCTAGTATGTAGACTATTCAGTGCTTCAACTTAGGGAGTTCAGGGGCTAGTGTCCTCTGAAACTTTACAGAGAAATCCAATGTAGCCCTCTTATACTAATGAGAACAATGTTTCTTCGAGTGATTTTGTATTGCACTTCAGTTTGTGCATGTGCTCCTGGCACTGGTCAGTTTTAATTTAGCAGTGTCCATGTGGTTTGCATATGCGTCCCCGTTTTCCTTATGCTTTGCAACGAGGAAATAAAGGAGGCTGCTGGATCACCGCTATCTTAGTTCCTCATTACCTTTCATGGATTAGAATGCAGCTTCAGTCTTCGTGCTGACTTCTACTTCATAAAGAGTTTATAAGTATTGATTGCATTTATAATTTCTTAGTTAGTTTTTAGTATAGTTAGTTAGGAATTAGTTTAACAGGGGTCCGGTTCCTTCCTGCTATAGTATCTGCAGGTTGTTCCCAAGTAGAACTAAGCAGCCTAGGGAGTTTCGGCTCCAAAAGTTCCTCATGGAGTTGGGAATGAAGGTGGGTGTAACCTCTGACTGAGGAGAACCACCTCTAAGTTAGCCTGAAGAAGGTAGGGATGGCCCCTTCTTCTTCTCCTGTGCTGCTCTAAGATCTCTGTGGCCTCCATTCCCACCTCTGACTATGAGAGACTGGAGAGCAAAGATAGGGCAGAAATGGAGAAGGGAGATATGAGTGATCCCATAAGGACAAGAGGGAAGGTTCCCCATCCAACCCCTCTAAAAAGAGACAGAAGTTGTTTTAATTGGAACTTTGAGAGCTGCACCCCAACTGTCCCTCTGAAGCTGCACAAATCCTATTTTTTCCCCTCCCTTTAAAGGCTTACTTTCCAACTACCTATCTTCCTAGACAGAAATTATGCCCAACAGATGGGTACAAGAGGTCATCTTCTCAGGTATACCATCCAGTTCTTTTCTCTCTACAGCCCCCTCCTCCTCCTCCCTTCTCTTTTGGGGACCCCTCTAATGAGAGCATTCTTCTGCAGGAGCCAGACTTGATCCTTGAGCTGAGGGCAATAGAACTAATATCTGCTACACAAAGGAGTTCTATTTGAGGTAATTTCTCATCCATGTGAAGACATGGTGTCATAAATATAAAGGGAAGGGTAAACCCCTTTAAAATCCCTCCTGTCCAGAGGAAAAATCCTCTCACCTGTAAAGGGTTAAGAAGCTAAAGGTAACCTCGCTGGCACCTGACCAAAATGACCAATGAGGAGACAAGATACTTTCAAAAGCTGGGAAGAGGGAGAGAAACAAAGGGTCTGGGTCTGTCTGTATGCTGCTTTTGCTGGGGATAGAACAGGAATGGAGTCTTAGAACTTTAGTAAGTAATCTAGCTAGATATGTGTTAGATTATGATTTCTTTAAATGGCTGAGAAAAGAACTGTGCTGAATAGAATGACTATTCCTGTCTATGTGTCTTTTTTGTAACTTAAGGTTTTGCCTAGAGGGATTCTCTATGTTTTGAATCTAATTACCCTGTAAGGTATCTACCATCCTGATTTTACAGAGGTGATTCCTTTACTTCTGTTAAAAGTCTTCTTGTAAGAAAACTGAATGCTTTTTCATTGTTCTAAGATCCAAGGGTTTGGGTCTGTGGTCATCTATGCAAATTGGTGAGGATTTTTACCAAACTTTCCCCAGGAAGTGGGGTGCAAGGGTTGGGAGGATTTTGGGGGGAAAGACGTGTCCAAGCTACGTTTCCCAGTAAACCCAGTTAAAGTTTTATGGTGGCAGTGGATCCAGGGGCAAAGAATAAAATTAATTTGTACCTTGGGGAAGTTTTAACCTAAGCTGGTGAAAGTAAGCTTAGGAGGTTTTCATGCAGGTCCCCACATCTGTACCCTAGAGTTCAGAGTGGGGAAGGAACCTTGACACATGGGGATAAAGACCAATTCTGGACTTGAGAGAACTGAACAAGAGCATCTGCCACCTAAAGTTCAGAATGATGACCCTGTTCTCCATTATCCTGTTGCTGTAAATATAATGTAAAGTCCATTTATTCATGTCTGAATACTGGAGACATAACAGGATTTTTTTGAAGCATTCTTGATCCATTGCTAACTTCACATACACAGCAGCTGACCTCCCAGTGATCTGCCACACTCCATTTATCCATCTCCTCGTTGGTCATCTCCTACTGTGATGACCTGTTACTATTCCTTCCATGATAACTTTCTTGAGATTATTTCCATCTCTACCCTGATGTGCCTAAACTACATAAGTTTGCACCTGTTGATTTCCAAGAGTAAGTCTGCTTCTCTCCAATAATATTTCTAACTTAAGCATTCATCTTCTTTTCCATCCAGGAGATAACACAGGAGTCTTTGACAGCACCACATCTTAGAGACTTAACTTTTCCTCATCAGCAACATTAGTTTCCCAAGATTTTACCTATGTATGTTGCTGTGGAAAAAATGAAGCTTTCCACCAGTCAAACCTTCATACATTTCAAGATGCCACAGGATTTCCACCCTTTCAAAAGAGAATCTATGGCTGAGCAAGCCATCACTAGTTTTTTTCAGATTTCCTTGGAGCAGCCTCCTTGGTCGGATATGCATGATCCCAGATAATTAAATTAATCTACTTTGGCAGCTTCAAGCATGATAGTTTTCATTTTATACCAAAGTTCATTTGGATTTTTCTCTTCTTTCACCTTTTGCAGTGCCTCAAACCCATTCTCAACAGAAGTCATGTAATTTTTGTTAACTTTGTAAAGTCCAGATACAGTGGACCTGCTGAACATCTTACCTTTTTAAGTTTTAACTTTATTTTTGAGGCTAACGGTTGATGGTCTGATCTGTAGTCTGCACTCGGGAAAGTATTTGTCCATTGGCTGCTCAATCCCCAGCGTCCCTCTATCATTATTTTATTATATAATTTAATGTATTATTATTTAGTTCTTTATCATGCCATTGGGTGACCTCCAGATAAAGAAATATATAGAATGTTGGGTGAAGATGGTGTTTGTAATGACCAGATGATAAGAGCAGCAAAATTCAAATAAATGCCTTTTTCTCCCATTTTATAAACCAAGACCATTGTTTCCCATTACTTCTTTATGAGAGATTTCCACTCCTACTTTTCTGTTCAGATCTCCAGTTAAGAGGGTGATGTCTTTGTTGGGTATTTTAATGAGTTTCATTTCAAACTATTCATAGAAGTCATCAATCACATCAGCAGTAGGTGCTATCATAGGGGCATAAACCTGTACAGTCAGCACATTAACTCACTTTGTTTGAAGGCAAATTTTAATGATTCTGTCTCTGATTGAATTATATCCAAGCATACATTTTGATGTCTCTTTGGATAATATAATGAAACCCTGTTTTCTCTCACTTTCCTGGATCCTGAGTAGTACACTGTATCACCATCCATTTTCATTTAATGAAAATGGATGGATATATGGTGACATGAATTGTAATGTCAAATACAAATACATGTCTTGAAAATGAAAATACATGTCATGGACATGTTGCCGCTTCCAAGGAGCCACCCGAGGTAAGCGCCACCCAGAGCCCGCATCCCGAACCGCCTCCAACCCCCCAGCCTCTGCCCCATCCCTGAGCCCCCTCCCAGAGCCTGCACCCCATACCACAACCCCCTGCCCCAGCCCTGAGCCTCCTCCCACCTGCTGAAACCCTCATTTCTGGCCCACCCAAGAGCCTATACCCCCAGCTGGAGCCATCACCCCCTCCCGCACTCCAACCCCCTTCCCCAGCCCAGTGAAAATGAGTGAGTGAGTGAAAGATGGTGGGGGAGAGCGAGTGAGTGAATGATGGTGGGGGAGAGCGAGTGATGGAGGGGGATGGAGTGAGTGGGGACGGAGCCTCTGAGAAGAGGTTAGGCCTTGGGGAAGGGGTGGGATGGGGACAGGGAAAGAGTGTTAGGTTTTGTGCAATTAGAAAGTTGGCAATCGTACTGGGAGCTAGCGTTAGAGAAGGAGCTAAGATGGTGGCAGTTATTCCCCTGGTGCAGAGCATGAGGAAAGAGGAGGACGCATACATAGACTACATAGCTGCTGCTAAAGAAAAATTATCTGGTGCTCAGTTTATGGAGCCCATGTGCAACTTGAAGTGCATTACTCATAGTAAAAACATATTTTAAAAGACTTGGGTTACTACAAGGTGAATAAGGCATCCTTACAATCTAGGGACCCACTAAAGCACACGCAAGTGGACAATAAAAACAGAATGTTGACAGTCCTCCCAGAACAGCTTTATTTAAATTAACAAGGAGTAAAAAACTGAAAATGGTAAACTGAAAAATATGATCAAATAACTATTGTAAATTAACTAATAGTACAAAACACTGCAAGCCAACCTTACTTCCAAATACTCACACTGAATGAATCCCCCCCATAGGGGCCGACTCCGTGGGTGCTCCAGCTCTGGAGCATCCACGGGGAAAAATTAGTGTGTGCTCTGCACCCACTGGCAGCCAAGCTCCCCTCACCCCCTGCCCCACCTCTGCCTCCCCTAAGCGCACTGTGTCCCTGCTTCTCTGCCTACCTCCCAGCACTTCCCTCCTCCAAACAACTGTTTGGCAGCATTAGCATGCTCCAGGAGGGAGTGGGGAGGAGCGGGAACATGGCATGCTCAGGTGGGGAGGCGATGCCGGGGATGGGGATTTGGGGAAGGAGTTGGAATAGAGGCAGGGAGAGGGCTGGGACTTTGGGGAAGGGGTGGAATGGGGGAAGGGCCAGGGGCAGAGGGGGGTAGAGCACTCACGGGAAAGAGGGGAAGTCAGTACCTATGATTACCCCTCACACAAAGACTAACTCACAGTGGTGTAGAGTAGAAGATCATTCTTTTGTGTGTTTGCACAGCACCTAGCATGGCGGGCCCAAATCCATGCTTTGGCCACTAGACACTACGGCAATACACATACACATGTCCTAACTCAGATACCGAACACCTAGTTACAAAAACCTCAGTTTTAGGCCAGCTTGTAGATGGGATGGCCTGGAGCTGTGGGGGAGGGGTTCAGTGACGGAAGAGAGGGTGCACAAGCAGCAATACTAGGAAGAGCTATCAGGATGTAATGTGCCTCCTATGTAAGAATGAGATGCTAAATCATGTCATGAGGTTCCACAGGTCCGCTCACTGTTTCCATCCTCTTTGCTAGGGGAAAGAATTCAGACGTTTCTGAAGAGAGCAAAATCTATCCTTCTAAGAGTTTCTCCTGTCTCGGTCTATGGCCTGGCATTTTATCAATAGTAGCTTCAGCTCTTCCAGCAAATTTGAGAGACTTGATGATAAAAGAGCAAAAATGACTCATTCAGTCAAAGTAAATATATTGTTGAGTTACCATATTATCATGATTTCAGCTAAAAAAAATGAATGGGAATAAAGAGGATTTCCCCCTCATTTTATTTATATTATTTATTTTATTTTACTTTTATAAATGTTCAGACCTGACTGGACTCTCATGGAGCATGTAAAAGTGCCTTACTAATATGGCAGACTACTTTGGAACCCCCTTTCAGGTAGTTGAAGGCTGCTATCAAATCCCCCCTCATTCTTCTCTTCTGCAGACTAAGTAAGCCGAGTTCCTCAGCCTCTCCTCATAAGTTATGTGCTCCAGCACCCTAATCATTTTTGTTGCCCTCCACTGGACTCTTTCCAATTTTTCCACATCCTTCTTGTAGTGTGGGGCCCAAAACTGGACATTATTCTCTAACAGCCCTTTTAAACCTCCTCAGCGAGATCCTGTTCTTCCTTAACAAGATTTCTCCATTATAGTTATATCATTAGAAGTAACATACATCATGATATAACATAAATCCAGTCACTAGTCATTTTGTTTATGTAATTTGTTATGTGACTGTCTTCTGATTGATTTTTCTTTTTCCTTCAGGAAAATGAATGTATGAGAATTAAAATCTTAGGTGATTGCTACTACTGTGTGTCTGGACTACCTATATCTCTTCAAAATCATGCCAAGAACTGTGTGAAAATGGGATTGGACATGTGTGAAGCCATAAAGTAAGTGCAGTGGTTTTGTAACTGGACAGTATTTTTCTGTCAACAGTAAAAATGTCATTCATTTCCATCTGCAGTTCTGGTCTTGGTTTATGTATTTCAGTAGCTCTGTGTTCATGTTTCAAGTCCAGATCCAAAATGGCAATCTTGACTCTGTCTGCAGCAGCTGAAGATTGTTGAAATAAATTTTGTCAAGCTAAGGATATGGTCCCATCATTGTATAAAGTATTAGTTAGACCACATTTGGATACAGTGTCTTATTTGGGTCACCTTTTTGGAGGAATGATTTAGTTATTTGGCCAACAACAAAGATGGTGATGAGAATGAAGGGGAGTACAAATGAGGGGAGATGGACTATGACAAATCCAGTGAGACAATACGCAAGGTTCTTTTAGTCCAGTTTCATGGTAGGCACTCTTTTTTAAAATTATTATTACTACTAATAATTAAATTGCTGTTATCAGCAATTGCTGTTAAATATTTCTGTTATCAGTTATTCACAAAGAAGCTTTTCAGGGCTGGTTAAAACAAACAAAGGATTCCCATGGTTAGAGTTTTAAACTAAGGGCCAGATTCACAGATGCACGCCCACTGCTTCCGCACTGCTCCAGCAATACAAAACAGCTGTAAAAACACCTAAACTGGCAGTTATACTAGGTTTATATCAGCTTTACTTAAACAGAGTGCTCAGGTGGTATTAGTGAATCTGGTCCACATGAGATTGCTAGTCCGGTAGCAAGGATTTTTAGCAAATCTGTCAATTTTTTGTAAGACTGGAGAATAGGTAAATCATACCTATATGTAAGAAAGAGGACAGGGCTGTCCCTACCCATATGCAAAGTACGCAGCTGCGTAGGGCACCAGGAGCTCCAAATTTCCTGGTGCCCTGTGCAGCTGCGTGCTGCTCCAGCCCCTGCTCCACCTCTTCCCTCTCCTCTCCTGCTCTGCCCCCACTCAACCCCTTCCCCAAAGCTCCTGCCCCACCCCGCCCCTCCCACCCCTGCTCTGCCCCAGCCCACTCCCCTGACGACTCCAGCAGGGATCTGCTCTACACTCACCGGCGGCGGTAAGTAGAGCGACCCAACCCCAGCCTGCTCCACTCCGCCAGCTCCCATCCACAGTTCTCCCTGCTCCCCAAGTCCCAAGGCTGGGAGCCTGGAGAACAGAGCGGAGCTCCACTTCCCGCTGCCCCGTGAGTGCGGGGTCGGGCCTGCCCTGAGCTCACCAGGCGGCAGGAAGTGGAGCGACCTGGCCCCAGCCCACTCCGCTCCACTGGTGAGTGCTGGGGGGTGGTTTTCCCTTGCCCCCCAAGCCTGCTCCCTCCCAGCGGAGGCCTGGGGCCCCATACAGTCTCCCCCTCCCGCCCCCGTG